CACACACACACACACACACACACACACACACACACACACCATGCAGAAAGTCTACCAGTCATTAGTGTGTTTTTATAAGCTAACAGAAGATTAGAACCAGATGGCAGTTCTGTTTCCTCCTTCCTTCCCCTCTCAGCCTCTCTCTCTCTCTCTCTCTCACACTCTCTCTTCCCCCCCCCATTGTTATCACTGTCTCTTTCTGTCTCTTGTCCCTCTGTCTTTCAGTCTGCCAAATGAAGATGAATAAATGGACAATACAAGGACATCTCACACTGCTCGAATATCAACACAAACAGAGAACAAAAGAGGAGCGAAGTGGTAAAATATCTATCCCCCAGCTGTTTTTCTCACAGTTTGACTGCCATCACATATTCAGCACATCATCCAGAGTAGAACTCTTTTTCAGAACAGGATGGGGATGAACTTCTCCTCCCCTGTCTCTCCATAATGTGTCTCTTGTTTCTTTGTCTCTACGTCCCTCCTCCTGTCTCTCTTCTTCCTCCTCCTGTAAAACATTTTCCTAACTGAAAAGCAAAGGTCAAGCTTGTGCAGCCTTTACGCCCAACCCAACATTCTCCTTCTTTTCGCTCTCTTGCTCGTTTTGTCCGGCCGTCTCGCTGTGGCCCTTTCCTCTGTATTCCACTCAGTTAAGATATCTGGCATAACCAGTGGTGGTGTATGGACTGCATCTTTAGAGGTCTAATCATACGGATACATCAACATTCATCTCAAAAACCTTGAGAACTGAATCAGCACTTCCTTGCCTGAAATCCTATCTTTGGTTGCACTGCGTTGCATTAACAGTGGACAGGTTTACGTGTTACAGGCTGGCTTTACTTAAGCTAAATGAATAAAGTATAATTCATGCAAAAGAAGTTGTGTTAATCGTGGGTAACACCAGCGCCCTAATAAAACATTCCCATGAACAGTGCGCTATAAATTAGCAGAAAGGCAGCTGCTGGGCCTTTATCACAGCTGGTTGGCTCTCTCAGCATAAGAGTGTGGATAGTAAGAGCGGCAGGAAACCCCCCTAATGCAGAGAGTTAGTGAGACATAATGGAGCATCTATTCTGTGAAATGGCCTCTAAAAATGTAAGATGCTCTGGAATGTCGTTAGTTATCCAAAGAAAGTATTAAAATTCCTTGAGTGCCGCTGTCAGAGAAATCAGCTGTCGAACACCTGAATGATTCCAACAATGCAGGACAGAGCTGAGCACCTCACTGTAGAACACGTGTGTGTGTTCAGGACAGGCCTTCTCCTCTGAGTTTCACAGGCAGCTAGGATTACCACCTCACATGTTAAGCTGCAGTTTACATCCATGTCTGTCCAAAATGACATCACTTCATCATTTTGGCCCCATTAGACGTTTGTGTGAAGTTGTAATAATTCGGACACGACTTGTTGAGTTACGGCCGTGTTTTGTGAAGTCACAGTGACATTTGAAAACCCAAATCTAACCAGCACATCCTTGAGTCCAGGTGGATGCTTGTGACAACGTTAAAGGCATGCATTCCAGGTGACATCACAAGAATGGGGCCGACAGTGACCTCGACCTTTGACCAACAAGTCCAAGTGGACATTTTTTGCCAAATTTGAGGAAATTACCCTCAGATGTTTTTTTTAGGATATTGTGTAGTTGGCGCAGGGCATGACAATCCCCTAGGATCATCATCGTCATCATCACCAATGTAAATCATCCAACAAAAGCAGCAGCTGTATAATTCAGCTGGAAGTACAAGAAGTGATTTATTACTGACTCACTGGAATCAATTGGAGTGAGTCAAGTGTGAATAAAATAAATCTGCCCACAGTTCAGGTTTTGGTCCAACTATAATGGCAGACTGGATTTAAAGGGACAGTTCACCCCCAAAATCAAATACATACATTCCTTTCTAGAACTTGTAGAAACTTCTATTTATCGATCTTGATTGTTTTAGTGCGAGTTTGTGAGTGTTGGAGGTATTCCTCCACAATCTCCAGCCCCCTCTCCCGTCTCTCTACTGTGTTCTAGACGACGTTGACGCATGTAGATAAACAGCCTGTCTGAATCCAGGGCATGTAAGGGGCAAAGGTTTATTTATTGATTAACCAGAAAACATCCAATATCGTGATATACAGTGTGATCCGGATATGAGATATTTTGTCCATGTCCAGTCCTAACTAGATGCTCCAACTTGTGGTGATCAAAGATAATCCACAGACCTTGTTGTGTCCATTTCTCCTCACCTTTCTCTCGTTTCTTCCTGGTTCTGTCCAGATGATCTTTGAGCATGATGCGCACTTGTCTCTCGTTGACGAGATCTCTGATGAAGGCGTGTCTCAGCAGGGCGTCCGTGGTGGGGCGATGCAGATGGTTCTTGACCAGAGAGCTATCGACGAAGGACAGGAAGCGCTTCGACCTGCAGGAAGACAGAGAGAGACGGCCAACGAAGGAGTGCAAAGGGAAGAAACAGAGTGGAAACAGATTGAGGAAGTTGTAAAAAGTATAATCTGTGTAATGTACTATAGTTTATGTGATTGATCATAAACCCCAAGTTAGCCTTTAGCACATTCCTACAGAGTAAAAGAGTAGAGGAGAAATCTGTTTTACATTACAGAGGTTGAGTCATGTTTATTGACAAGAGTTTCATCATGATAGAGGATCATGATTAAGTTAAACTCACTTTCAATTACATAATCCTGTTCTAACCCTAACCCTAACCGGAAATATATATATATAGAACTGTATAAAGTTATAAAGTGCCACATCTGAGCAAACTAAATAAATATGCAGTCATTATGACAAGAGAGAACAAGGGAAAGTGAAATGTAGAGGACCAATATGAAAACCAGCAGGTCAACTAATCAAACCTGTTTAAATCAGAGACAGCCTCTAAAACATGCCACCAAAATAACCTCACCTACAGAATGCAAGCTAGTTATCACTTGTTGAAATGTTATCAAGGACGATCCTGTGTTGAGGTTTAACTCGGGCAATATCTGCGGACTGACACACTCCTATGATTGGAGAGGCGTGTTGTCCGTGCTCCGTTCACACAGGAAACAGGAATGTGTGTTGCTGCTTTGTCTTCGGCGTGCTCGTCGCCTTCGGGAGGCCCCGAGGTAAAAAGGAGTGGAAAGCTCTGCGTAGCTATTCAAAGCTGTCCTACAAACGAGTGTTTCTGATGACATCAATACTAAATGAAAGACAGCATGAGTTCAACTGCCAGTTCAATCTGAAGGGCTCATCCATTAAGTAAGGGGAAGGAGGCAGGGCGATGGCAGAGGAGGGGAAGAGAGAGACGGGTCAATAGTAACTCTGGTTTGAGGTTTAAAAACAGCTGCCACAACATTGTGTCCATTCTCATAGAGAAAAAATGTATGACAGGTTGTAAGATGTAAAATGCCAGCGACTTTGAGCTCTCAGTTTCATCGTTGTCTTTTGTCTGATTGTCCGATGCAAGAAACCCAAAACAAAGACCAGGAGAAAACCTCAACACTGCCCTCCACTTCCTGCTGTGTGTGTATGGATGTGTGAGGCTTACCATTTCTTTGATTTGAGTTTGGGTGGAGGGTTTCGTGGAATCAAAAACAGCGCTCTCATTGGATGCATGTCACACAGAGCTGCATACAAAGATAGAGTCAGAGACAGGAACAGTAAAAGGGAGTGGAAATACACGTCACTGTTCAAAGACATCAATACATTGTTGAACTTACGAGGGGCTCCTTCAGCCATCTCCAAAGCAGTGATGCCTAAAGACCAGAGGTCACTCTGAGAACGAGAGAGACAAGAGAAAAGGTTGAGACCGGTGCACACGTGAAGCTTAGCTCCAGTTCTCTTCATTCTCTCTTTATATTCAAACAGTAAAACGGTTTGCGAGTAGCGCGAGAGACAAGATCCAGGATGTAATTTCCAAGAGTCAAACTTCTAGTACTCTACAATGATGATGAGCATTCCTAAAGCTGGCCAGAAACGCCCGCTGTGTCTGTGTAATTCAGTACCCTGTAGTCATATGTGGCCTCGGGGTTCTCGTCACAGGCGATGACCTCCGGAGCCATCCAATAGGGCGTACCGATGAAGGTGTTCCTTCGACCGATCGTCTTATCCAGCTGCGCCGACACTCCAAAATCAACTGAAACACAAAACAACGTGGGACGACTTAACGTCCTCGGAGCGGCCACAAGCTTTGCTTCTTTATGAGGCGTTTGTGTGACTCAGTATGTACGTATGTATGATGGTGTGTATGGTGCTTGAGAAACCACAGTGCATGTGTGGATGTGTCGTACCCAGTTTGACTTCGGCGTTCTCTGTGAGCAAAACATTCTGTCCCTTAATGTCTCTGTGGATCACATGATGGGCGTGAAGATGGGAAAGACCCTGGGAGACAAATATGCACACACACACATGAACACATACACACAGTCAGATGACCACTATCACTATAAATATAAAGGCACAATTCCTTTAAAAGAGTAGAAGCATTATATGTTTATTTTTAAAGGAATGCCGAACAAAGAGCAGAATTTACTTCAACTTTGTTGCCCTGCTTTTTCCTTCCTATTGCTCAACCCTCTGACCCCCCAAGCGGTGTCGGAGCGTTTTATGCTCCCGTCACATTTTACTCTCTGTGGCCTTGATGTTCACTGCAGTATGAAAGTCCTGCACCTCTATGGAAACAGCACAGTCATGGCCAGAAGAAGAGGGAACTCAGATATGCCATAAATCATAAAAAAGAAAAACAAGTGGAATTACATTTTTACAAAAATTGCTAAATATATTTATCTAACATGTTTCCAAGTGTCTACAAGTGGACAATGCTGGAAATAAATAGAGGCTCCAGGTGCGATTTAGACAACCTGTCCCCTCCTCCATGCACTGTGTTCAGCAGCTTGCAGCTTAAGAAAGGTTTCAAGGAATCTCTGTCCTGCTGGTCTCAGCCGAGTCAATCATGGCATCCTAGTTACGCAGAATTTAATGTTTTCACATTTTTGATGAAATATCAACATTTTTAAGCTTTGTTTTGGCAGATTTGTTTTGATGTAAGCCTTCGTCACACATGATGTGCTCGAGGACCATCGGAAAGATGAAAATCTGACCATAATGACGCTTTTTACAGCTTCTGGCTGGGACAAACGGTGTAGTTTTGGTGATGGTAGAAAACATCTGTTTAGATCCCGCTGGTGTTTTTTGGGGTTCACAGGGTTAAAGTAGGTGAGTGACCGAGTAGCACGGAGGCTGCCGGTCAGTGGCACAGCTCGAACGAGTGCACGTCTGTGTGTGTGTGTGTGCTCTCGCTTCTTCAAAGGAGGTTAAACAAACAGAGGAAGTGAGTCTTATTTCAGACAATGACCTCACCAGCGTCTGTGTGTGTGTGTGTGTGTGTGTGTGTGTGTGTGTGTGTGTGTGTGTGCTGCGATGTTGAAACAATGAAGAGACAGCGAGGCTAACAGCAGCAGGGAAAACTCGGGTGATGATCCAGAGCGCAAAAATAATCCTCTCACGTTCATCCTCGCCTTGATAACGACAGCATCAGATGTGATGGAACTGAGTTGATGCAGGTCGATATATAGTTTGTGTACGAGTAGGTTTGTTTCTGGAGCCACAGAAACACGACGCAGAAAGCAGCGCAAGCATTCTTTCTCAGGACCTTGTGATCTCTCATAATGATAACCATAACATCCTTACAGACATGTGTTTTAGAGTGGCCTTTCAAGTTTACAAATGAAACAATAATCATATCAGCCGTTCCCTCGTGGGTCACAGCGGGAAAACATAAGAGGGATGCTGATCCCTGAACATGGAGGAGCATCGCCGTCGGTTTGGCTCCTTCTCTTTGAAGTTTGGGCAAAGAGTCCCTCACTAAAAGTAGCATCATGTTTCTTATACAACTGCAGCGGCTCTCGTCCCGCCTGCAGTTTGCATCCACATGCAAATTACTGCCTCTGCTTTTACCGGCACTAAAGAAGGGCCTCTACCATAACAACAAGTACAGGTGTATAGTGTGTGTGCGTTTGCTGCGGTGAGTGCTTACCCTGAGCACCTCTCGGCAGATGTACGCTATCCAGTCCTCCTTCAGACAGTTCCCCTTGGTCTTCTTCACCAGGTCTGTGACGGAGCCGGCTCCACAGTACTCCATCACCAGCTAGAGGGACACGTAGAAACGTCAGAACAGCCAAAGCAGCCGGGATTCAGGAGAGAATGATGAAAGAACACACATGATAAACCCAGAAGGGTAGCAGCTATTCAACACAACAAAATCACATTCATAAAAACTCAATAGTAATAACAGATATAATGGTTTACAAACCCAGAGTTGGTGGTCCTGTCCAGCAGGACCTTTCTTAATAAAAGCTCCATAATAAGTAGCGATGTTCCTATGGTGGGAATAACTCTTCAACATGTTGATCTCCAGCTTTATCTCCTCTTCTTCTTCCTAAACAGCACAACGAACACAGCAGGAATCAGACTACGTGTACAGTATCTTTATGAAAGATTAATGCAAACATCAATGTCAGACAGTCTGATGGGCCTTCTAAGAGTGTAGCTTTGGTTGTACTCGCACTTGGCGCTGTATGTACGGAGGCCTTTGTACTCTATGCGCTGCATTATTATCTGAAAGGCCAAAGGGTGGACAAACAGAATGTACTGTGAAGAATCAAAAAGACAATGAGTGTAACTTATAGATATCCCCAAAGACTGTAGGGGGATCAGGCAAAGAGCCATAAACCAACCTTTCAGAGTACCTCCTCCTCTCCTCCTTCCTTAGAGAATTACATTAAACTATACCTCACAAATATGACATGTTCCATGTCCTAATCCTGCTTACACTGAGGTCCATCTACACAGGCTGAAAGGTTCATTTCCATTTCCATAAAGCCCATACAACACAAACACGTACACATCCAGACAGATCCAATCACACTGTTGTGTGACCTCTACATGGCCGGCTATTTGACCTTAATTCAACCACTGCAGTTACTCCACAAAACAACTACGGTTGGTCAGTGTTATGAGACGCGAGGACCAAATAAGAGGGGAGAGGAAACAGAGTGTGCCGCTTTTTAGTTTTCTGGCTATAAATCCCCAGAAATGACTTGTCGACACAGGGCTGGAGGAGCTGGATGTGGGTGTTCATCAGAGAGGAGGAAACAACAGACAGCTTCTCCCAGTCACTGACCTCCTCTAAATCTCCACAGGAGGGGAGAAAATGACAAGGCAGAGTCTGAACTTTCACCTCCATCTGAAACACAAAGCCTCCTGCTTGTGTCTGCAGTGTGTGTGTGTGTGTGTGTTTGAAAGAGAGAGAAGGGAGATAATAGCTAAGCATTTCCTGCTACAGAGTTTGTCTGCAACACAGAGGATCCAGAATGCCATCAACAGGAAACAAACCAGTGTTCCCAGAAGGAAACCAGTGTTCCCAGTGCTGCAAGAAGCAGATTTGTAGTGAGGTGTAAAAGTGGAGAGAAGCATTAAGCCGGACCCATTTGTAACACTCAACACAAACTGCTCAAAAACTACTTCAACCAGCATTGTTTACATTTTTTTCAGTTAATAATCAATAAACCATTTGGTCTATAAAATGGAGGCGGGGAAAGCATACCCTGCTTTATGGTCTCTTTGACTCTAAATGGACCATAATTTACTAAATGAACATCATGCTGTATTGAAGAACACTTGGAACTAGAGATTGAGACCATAACCATTCAAATTGGCATGTTAGCACGTTAATGTATGCTAATTGGCACTAAACAAAAAGTACAGCCGAGGTTGTTAGAATGTCATTGATTTTGCAACGACTTGAACAAGTTTACATTTTAGATGAAAAGGTAAGAAGAAAAGTAAGGGATCATCAACATCAGTAGGGTTCACCCTCTGGGGACCTGTACCCGTTATGAGGAATTTCAGTCTGGGTAAAAGTGGTGGATCGATCAGATCAACCATCAAAACCAACATTGCCTTCCCTAGAAACATGAGGACAGCATGCCTAAAAAGGACTTCAACTATTGATCGATTATCTAAAAACAAATGTAGTTTTCAGTCGATCAATTACACACATTGACACGAGTTGTCGCCTTGTTGGTCCCCACACACAGCGGTAAGACCATGAGGCAGAACACATCACCTCCCTCTTTAGACCCAAAGTAAATGAACATCATGCTATAATCCTAATCAATATATATATATATATATATATATATATATA